GAGAGAGAGAGAGAGAGAGAGGTAAATGAAGAGAAAGACGTAAGAAGAAGCGAGAGAGTGGCGTGCACCCGAAGAAAAAGCAATAACGGCATGGAATGAGGCAGAGAGGGAGCGAGGGGATATGAGAATGATGTTTTCTTCTCCGAGCTGACATGATTGTATTAATTAATAGATGAGCTTAGAGAACGTTGGAGCAGATACCTTCACACAGCCACAAACACAGGCACACACACACTCGCTCACAAACACATGGGTGGGTCTTGTGGGAGCTGAACCAATAACCTGCTGGTAATTAGTCTGTCTCCTCAGACGCCAGCGTCTGTTACCCTCCATGACCCGTTGATACTGAGCTAACGAGAATGTCAGTCACACGCATTCACACACACAGACTCACGCACACCCACACACACACAGTCGTACAGACGGCCCTTCGTTCCCCCACATAGTTCCTCCCTCAGAGTTTGACACGTGTAACCTCTTGTCTTTCTATAATTTAAGGATTTGGACTCATGTTCTGTCTCTCCTGCACCCTGCAACTGTATTAATATATCTAATATAACTGCCTTTTTAAAAGAATATTGTACAAGTGCATATTAATATACAAATGCCACTACTTGACACTTCTCTCACAGTGGCTGTGATGACACTTGATGTGAATGCACTCATGAACACTGAGCGTACGGGTTTCACACTTAAAGGATATAACACGTCTCTGGTTTCAGCGAGCTGGGAGTGTGCCGTGTGCACAGGGTACCTGATAGCAGCTATGACCTTACGCTACGTCTAATAATAGCTCACACTCACTCGCCACATTCCGTCACTTTGTAGTTTTAATTGCAGCCTTTGGTTGAGAGAGTGAATATGGTTATTATTTCTTTTCATGAGGCTACAGTGAAATAATCTGACACTACTGCAATGCAACGTGCCAAATTACCCATCCACAGCTTTCCCTAAATCACGTTCTGCAGAGTCAATCACTTTTTTATCTTAATCGACCCCATTGAATCCTCCCGGAGAATCATATCTGCGATTTCAATCACTCAGATTCGCTCGCTGTGGATTGGTTGATTTCCTTCATGATTGATGTGCGAAAAGTCATTTTTGTGTCGAATCAGAAGGAAAAATAAAATCCCCCCGTTGTATTTCTGCTCTGTATGTGAGTGGAAACCATAGAACTGTGTAACGTGGACGATAAGTTCCCAACATCTTACAGGGTTCTTTGTACTCACATGACTTCAAGGCGCGCAGAGCGAGAATCGTTGCCAGCCTGTGATGTCACCGTGCAGGTGTAGTCCCCAATGTCACCTGACCACGTCTGGCCAATTGTCAGAGAGCCCTGGCGCACGGAAACGCGCCCCCCGCTGGTCGGAGGGACCGGCAAACCGCTACGATCCCACTTGAAGCTACAACAGGGAAGTACACAAGTACTTTATACTGAATGCATCCATTGCGTATATGAAAAATAAAGAATCAGGTGCTGGTAAGATGAGTGTTTATGTAGTAAAGATAAAAAGTGACCTGATGTTGACTCTGGGGTCGTGTGTGGCATTACAGTCGAGGACAGCAGTGGTTCCTTTGATAACACGCTTGTCTGTCGGCGGCAGTGAAATGAGTGTTCGACCTGAAAAAAGACCAAAGAGAGAGAGAGGGTGAAAAACAGAGCGAGAGGGATTAAGACGTGGGATAAATAAATAAAGTTAGAACTTGTTTGTTATTCTCCTCTGGTGTTAACATGAGACAGTCTCATTTAGTGTGTGTGCATTTAAATCTATGCTGCTCCAGAATAATTCAACATCTTTCATCTGAAGCTGTCAGGATAGATATATATACATATACCAGCCAATCAATGAGTTTACCATAGGTTTATCAATCATCCCCTGACTCCACCAATCAGATGATTCTTTCACCACTGCACTGGCCCACTGCATCAATAATCCCACAGCTGTTCACTAGCCTTAGCTAATGCGATTGGACTGCTACTGATAAATGAGTGTTCCGTGGCTGTTGTAGTCTGTTTAGAAAATGTATATTGAGCAGTTTAGTGTATCATTGTTTGTGAGCATTGTGCGTACTTACTCCACACGGTGAGCGTAGCCGTGGTGTTGATGGTGCCCTCGGAGTTGGAGGCGGTGCAGGTGTATTCTCCCGAATCCTGGAAGCTGACCGGCTGAATCTGCAAACCCCCTGACTGCAGCTGCGTGAACCTGGGAACCTGCACTGAGCCGCTGGCTAAGACCTGCAATCCTACAGAGAGAGAGGGAATTATAAAAGAGCCTCGAGGTGGAGGAAAGCAATTAAGACATTAGGCATGTTTTTAATTACATACACATTATGTTTATCAGTGTCAGTGAGCACAGTGTGTAATCCTGTCGGTTACCTTTCCTCCAGGTGATGGCAGGTTTCGGAGCGCCGCTCGTCTGGCAGGTAAACAAGGCCGTGGTGCCGTCGGTTACTGTTTGGTCGGTTGGGGGGGAAGTAAATGTGGGGGCCACACCTGAAACGCAAAGTGAGAGCATGAGAGGAGGAAAAGAGTAGAGCAAGACTGAATAAGTTGATTATGACGAGGAAAATAGAAGAACGGAGAAAGAAAGAATGACCGTGTTGAGCTAAACACGGATGTGTCCTCTGGAATCAATGGAGGCTTTATTCACTACGTGATAGGACATGTTTGTGCATAAATGTGGAAGGTGGAGGTAGGAGAGCTCCATGGAGACTTTTAATTATAATCAAACGCTCACCAAACACGAAGTAACCCAACAGAGTCAAATATAAGTTTACTTTAGCAGCTGCAACTCACTGAAAAGCATCAAATCAAGTCAGAACATTTAACTGACAAGGAATTTCACCTGATTTTAACGATGTGAAAAAGCAAGGATTTAGTTTGTTCTTGATTTTCAATACCCAGAAAAACTCACTTTCTAAAACAAACATAAAAGGCTTCCTAAATTAAATTACTTCTGACACTTTGACCTGCAGCCTTTCATTCACGTTAGCAGCAAACGTCTATTTCCAGGTTTAAAAATGATTTGTCGATTAATCAAAAACAATCAGCAGCTACTTGGATAATTCATTCATTGTTTGATTTGGTTTTAAAGTGAAAATGCCAGAATTCACTACTTCCAGCTTGACGAGGAGTATTACCTGATGTACTTGATTGGAAACTGCATATTTTCAGGTTCTGACATATTGGTGCGTAAAAACAAAAAACCAATGTGGTTATGTGGTCTTTAGGAAACCGTGATGGGTTTTCTGACGCCTTAAAGAACAAATGATCAACCAGTAATTGAAAGAAATTACCTGGAAAGTGATAATGAAATGTATTGATAATACTTTATAGTTGCAGCCCTAAAAACAATCAGAGCATGAATGAGCTCGTATAAAGTAGCTGACACAGACAAATAAGGGAGATGAAAAGCAAGTTCAGTCCAAGTGTTAATTCAGATAAATGAGAAACAAAGTGAAGAGGAGAGACGCTCGTGATATCAGGACAGGGAGAAATTAGCACGCTGTATATTAACGGTGTTTCTATAGGTGTGTATTGACAAAATGTTTTGATTGTGTGTCAGACAAACTCACTGGAGACAAGGAGCTGTGTGTGCGCCTGGGTCTCTCCAGCAGCGCTGCGAGCGAAGCACTGGAATATTCCTCCGTCTCCAGGCTGCACCCTGCGCACCGTCAGCCCAGTCGCCGCGGTGACTTTGTATCGAGGGTTCGCCAGTTTGGAAAGAGGCACTGCGTCCTTATACCACTCTATCCTGGGCTGGGGCACACCTACACATGTCCACGTGCACGGAAAACAGACAGAAAAACAACAGCAAGAGGGAAGGAAAATGTCAAATTTTCCTTAATAACAAACCAGCTGACCTCACTGCCGAGCCAACTGCTCGAACAGCCACACGCGCTCTTTTCACCAATCTTTCTTCATTGTTATCCACTCTCTCCCTATAAATATGCATGCAGGCATAATGACTGCTAATAATATATTGATCGCAGGGGGGTGGGAGGGAGGGGAAGGGTGGCAGTAGGGGCCAAAAAACAATCTGAATAAAAGATGCAGCACATTGAATATCTACAGAATCAGCAGCCACCTGTCTGACGGACATGCCAGATATGACAGGCAGGGGGCTCATGCAATTACTCTGTTTCAACCTTCCGCTCCGGGGTGTTTGCGTGTGTTTGCGTGTGTGTGTGCACGAGTGGGTGTTTGAGGGAGAAATGAATTTCGCACTTTTTCTCAATCTGTTGGTGTCAAGCTTTCACAGACATGTGTGAAATATTTTTGCGACCCCCTCCTTGTCTCGCTCACTCTGTCACTCCACACTCTATCTGTCTTTTCTCTTTTCCTCGTTCCTCCTCCCAGCCTCCATCCCTCTCTCCGTACCCTCAGGCCTCTGCTATTTAATTACACTGCCACTGTATCAGATTACTGAGGAGGGACATAAACTCGCTCTCGGTGTGTGTCGGAGAGGCAGGCAGAATGCTGCAGTTTTTCTGTGTCCATCTTCGCTAAAAAACTGTGTTTTTCGTGTAATCCATTTAAAAACAAGAGTCACGAACAAGAGCAATTTTCAAGCTTGGTTTCAGCATGTTAATCTGCTCACTCTGCCAGAAAACAGTGTCACTGTTCAAGAAGCCTTCAAACCAAACATACACACACTGAATAACATCAAACCTCAGCATAACGTGATTTAAACAGAGTCACCTTGACAGAGCCTGAGCGGCAGATGATCCCAGCGTGACAAAGTGTCTAACATTCGCTGCACAGACGCAGCCGATAAGTAGATGAAGTTATGAATTTGTGGTATGAGGAGTCACCACAATCAGTTCAACGACCCATCTGACTGTTAACAGCCGCAGAGTATAAAAAAACTTTGAAAAACCTGAAGGAGACGCCGTCCCAATGTGTGTCCATCTGTACAATTCATCTGGTTTCACCCCTCTTCTCAAACCAACCAGAAAATCAACAAAAGAAGGACGTGTGTGTGTGCGTGTGTGTGTGTGTGTGTGTGTGTGTGTGTGAATGCACGTTCAAAACAATGCATGAACATATTTTCACCAAACTTGGAATATTACTTAAGAGAGTAACTCCAGATGATTAAAATGTGGATCTCATTTGTTGGGAGTTGATATCTGGTGAACTTGTAGAACCTTGACGTGCACAGCAGAAGCAGTATAAACAAATCTTTGCTGAACTTTGCCTGCAGAGGATGGTAAAATTGTTAAGGATGTTTTTAATGTGTCACCAACACAGGCAGGATTTCTGGATGGGAACACAGACTGACATATTTGTTCCAGTGAGGAGGAACCTAGTTCATTTTAAACACTGACACACACACACACACATGGTTTACCTGTAGCGAGGCAGGGGATCTCTACACTCCTGTCAAGCTCAGCAAAGATCTTCCTCTTGGGCTGGGCAGTCAGAGAGGGCGGCTCTGCAAATGTTCGAACACAACATTCAAAGCATTAGAATGAAGCGTTGAAATACAGAATTCACTCTGTATCAATATATGTAAAGAAAAATATGTCAGACAAACAACAAACACCGACAGTCCCTCCTGTGTGCAACACGTCTGAACTCCTGATAACAAGGACTAGGAAACACGTTCAATCATTAAATATCTCGGGGAAAAAAAAAATCCTGAAAGAAGAAGTGGGAGTTTGCTTTCTTCATTTATTCATTGTTCGGCAGCACTGCAGAATAAGACTGGGTCCCCCTCTTGGCCCCGGGTATCTTCAGTGTCACTTGGGGACAGGTTTTCCGTCTGTGTGTCCTGTGAAATGACTTTTACAGAAAAACACATTCTCTTACTTTCCCAAGGGGAAAAATTTCCGCTTTTTAAACTACTCAATTTTCGCTGCCAATGATGGCTCCCCCCCCCGAACATCTTCACCAGTGTCGCTCTAAATGCAGACAGCAGCTCCGAGGAGAAACATTTCCCTCTATTTTGAATGTGAGTATTTGCCTTTTGGTGTAATACTGCTCTGCTACATGCGATATAAGAATTACCTCCTCCTGCATAGGCTCCATTTTTTCCCCCAAAAACAATTGTTAATATTTAGCGAGAGAAATTGACACTGCGAGCCCAGAGAGGACGAGACGGAGACACAGCAGCTAATTCATTTTCAGTCTGGCATCTCTGGAAAAGTGGCGCCCCACAGTAGTGGCACCTGTTCACTGAAAAATGACTTTGAGGAAAATGAAATGTCCGGTGTATGCTCTAAATAATGAATGTGCGTACTGGTTTTCACAAAGATGGAATTCTTATCGAAAAGAAAAGAAGGCTTTTTAATAGAAGTTTCACCTCTGTACTCTTTTCCCAGGGCTCCACAGTTGTACAATAATAATGTACAAAAATAATGTTTCTGACACAATGTTGTCATTTTAATGCTGCTTTATTTGAAATGACTTTTTTTTGTTTGAAGCTGAGTGTGTGCACTTGTCTTCATATAGTCGGAGTATATGACTTGGAGTTGCCTATGCTTTGTGCAGTCCTGCAACATAAATGAGAATTTGTGTGGAGAAGTCAGAATTGGTTTCACAATAACTGGATCTGTACTTCTTTTACGAGATGAGCTTTTAGTGTTGGGAGGAGCTTTCTCGGTTTGGAATATGTCGCCAAGCCTTGGAAAGGTAGATTCAATTTGGTTAGGGCAAGGTTAGGGTTAGGCAATAAAAAAAAATCTAATTGGTTGAGGTTAGGATTAAAATCCTTGAACTGACTTAAAGCTGAGCTACAGCTAAATTCCAGCAATTAAAGAAGTTAAGAGAAAATATTATAAAGAAGGTTTCTTTGGGTAGGAACCATATCTGGCTGTAAATAAAGGGTTTCATATAAATGTTTCAGGCTAGGATTTGTTTCGGTGACAGGAACATTTTGGTTGAGGTTCGGGCTCCGGTGTGAATGAGGGTTAGGCATTAGGATCCAGTGGTTACAGTGAGGTTCAGGGTAATGGCTGGGACACTGCAGATAGCTGTGATGTTCAAGGGTTGTGTGAGGGAAAAGGTAACGTGTCTGACTGAGTGTCCTCAAAACTGTGTGTGTTTGTGTGAGTGAGGACAGCAGCTCTGCAGACTGTCATGTCCGTGCAACATTTATTCTACTTGTCTACAAGTTCTTTACTGTTTGTTGCCAACTTTTAAACCCACATGTATTCCCATCTCCTATCTTTACTGTGCACGGTGGAGTGTTTTGTTTTTTTTTGACAAGAGAAGGAGAGAAGCGTGAGAGGAGCGGAGGACAGGAAAACAAGAGATGAATAACAGCCATGTGGCATGACACCGATAACACAGAGACGTTAATCCCCTTCAGTCAGGTGAGTGCAAGGACCTAGATGTACAAATACAACAAAACACATTTCGGAGCTTTTGGGTGGCTGTGTTAGGAGATTTGAGCTCTCGTGGATATTCTGCTCCCTGCTTGCAAAACAACGATGGAGAACAACAACAGAAATATTGTTTTTTTGGCAACGGTAGTCATCTGAGCGGCGTATAGCACGAGCATGCAGTGTCATACATATTCCGATTAGCGGATCAGGCAAAGAAGAAATGAAATTGAGTAATGAATACCTTTGAGGCTCTGCCTTTCTTTTACTCTGACACATACACTATTCTGTTTAGGAATCTCTTTCCTTGCATCAAGGTCTGTTGAGCCCAGAGCAGAAAGCAGATCAGCACTAATGTATTCATTAGTGTCTGCTCCTCTGATACATATGAATGCATGAAGACTTTGCCCCTGTCATGGAGGCCTCAACGATCCTGTTGGTCAGTGAAGGAGGATAATGTGGAGCGAAGGGAGGACAGTGTGAAGAGGGAACAAAACATTGTGGTAGATAGTGAGCGGGGAACAAAAAGAAAGCAGAGTATAAATATTAAGGCAGCTCTTTTCTCACTCGTGAGTAGTTAGCTGTCTGTGCGTTAGGTGCTCCCTCGCTCCGACTATCAAAGAAGATCAAGAAGACGAACTGGTTGAGAAAAGTTTGGCTTCATCAATCAGATGCTCCCTGCTCGCATGTGTGTTGTTTTCTATTTACACACACATATCAAGGGGGGGGGGGGTTTGTAGCGCTCGTGTTTGAGTGCTTTCACAGTTCTCTTATTGATTGGCGTCTCCGGGGAGTAAAACTAATTTATCTGCCTGGGCCAAACCAGCATGTGTGTCCGCGGTGTCGTGTTGTGATTAAGTGTGTAAGCGTCGGGTCCACGCGTTCATGTGCTCGTGAACACACACGGGCGAATTTGTGTGCACCCCAACGCAACAGTTGTTTTTGACAGGGATGGACAGTTTATTGGTGAATGAGGACAACAGATTCAGCCCGGGTAGGCCTGCAGCTGACAGCCACTGCCTGAGGTTTTCACAGTTGCAACTTCCAGGAGAAGAGTAAGAATAAATGGAGGAATAAACAGAATGCAACTGTGCCTGAAGCAAAACATGTGCAAGGAAATACAAGAGCGAGTTTAAAACAGGAATTAATGGAACATGTTTACACCATCGGTCTTGATGGGTCAGGTCGACCCAGGATAATCATGTTAGTGTGTGAGAGAGTGAGAGAATGAGTGATTGGCATACTCCTTACCTATTACAGTGAGGTGTGCCCTTGCCTCTGCAGGTTTGGCAGAGCTGTTACTAAGCAACGCTTCACAAACATATAGCCCGGTGTCGGAAGATGTGGGTGCAGGAAAAACAAGCCGACGCCCACTGGTCAGCCGACGCCCATCCCGTTTCCACGACACCACGAGACTGTCCACCGGCCTGAGAGGTGGAGGAAATGAGGAAAAGAGGAAGAGGAGAGAATAGAAAAGAAGAGGAGAGAAGAGAGAAGTGCGGAGAAAAAGCCAAAGAGTGACAGAACGCAATTACAACATATTAAATCCATCAGTTTCCGTGTCAATGAGGCAGGAAATGAATGATGACAGTGTGTACATCAGAGCAGTCAGCTCCACTCAGCATGAAGGAGCTTCAGTCAGTTACTGTGGATCTTGAGCAAAGGGAATGAGTTTTCATGAAAAATGAAATTCTGTTTTGGATAAACAACAACGAAACAATTCTTTTGAGACTGTGTTTGTGCGTGTCTGAGAAAAATAGCATTAATAAGGCATAACACCCTTTCATTTGAAGCTCAATGTTTTGGAGCATTTTCATGAAATAATCACATTTTCTACAAGGAACCTGCGTTAAATCGTACAACTGATTTACAAGGAAAACTTCTAACTGTGTCATAATCAGCAGCTGGAACTCTCTTCCAGATGTGTTCTCTTAATAACAACCTATACTTCAATTATGGCTTTTGTCTAAAAATAGCAAACCAAAATCTAGTGGTGTAAACACAATCGTAACTCACAGTCTCGGGCTGTGGATCAGGAGCAGAGTGGGTCGTCCACTAACCAGAGGTTCCGTGGTTCAATCCCCTGCTCGTACATTCCTCATGTCGAATTGTCCTTTGGCAAGAGCCCAAATTGCCCCTGACGTCTGTGCCGGCAGTGTGAGAGTGATGCATGATAGGGAGAGTGCTGCATCTACAGTAACTGCACCGTGTGAATGTGGGAAAGTGTTGATGGCAAAATCTTTGTTTTAAACCAACGTTACAGCCAAAAGATTGACAAGTCCACTACGTATAGGATTTATATGATTAGTATAACAATCAGGGGAAGTTTGTAAACCTAAAGATACAGAAACTAAACTGATGACATGAGAGGAAGCACGTTGTCCTGGACTTAAAGCAAGTGATGTTGTTATACATCACTATTGTTGTTTCTGCTAATATTATTATCGCAACTGTATTTAGGCTCAGTGCAGCTAATATAAACCTAAACAATATAAAAGTCAGACTTCCATTAGGACAGAGTTCTCAAGCTGCTTCCTGTCAGTTGAAACGTTTTAAATTAACTGCGAGGCAGATATGTCAAAGTTTGAACACGCTTACTCAGCGGATCCTGTCCACAACAAAAGAATCTGAGAGTGCTGCCTGTTTTCACCCAAACTTCTAATTATTTCAGAACTTTACCAGGACTGCACTGGTGTGTATGACTGGATCTGGATACGGAGATGACTTTTGATTTAAGCACTCCATTTGATTTCATTGATCATTCTCCACATTCGTTCAAACTCCAATGGTGAAGTTTGTCTCTTACATTTGTTGTCTGGGCACAGAATTATCTCTCTGGACTATTGTTCAGCGACTGCCTCTCTGATATCAGAAAAAGTCCCTGTGGAAAAGATTGTTCCTTGTAGAAGAAATAGAAGAGACTCTTGTGCTGACTTGTCTGCAGTTGTAATATCAGCATAGCAGCTTAAAAAGACCAAATGATTTGGTGTTGAACAGAAAAAAGATTCTTGTTTGACAACAATTCTCTTTTTCTTACTTTGCATTAAGTGCTGCCCAGTGGTCAAGTGCTCATAGAGAAATAAAGCGACTTCTGTTCTGGCACTAGCAGCCTGATGAACTCAGACTAAATAACTCAGAGTAACAGAAGAGCAGCGTTTCTGCAGGTTTAAACGAGTCAAGTAGGAAACATATGAAGGAATATCAGAGTCTCCAAATGCATATGACTTTCCCATAATTGAAGATAAGGTGAAGCAGCCGTGTAGAGAATAACCCTTTATACGCTACGTTATCTCGCATACTGCAGGCGGAGACAGTTGATATCCATGGTCTCAGAGTACTGCAAGACCGGGATGGTTCTAGGTTATCATTTATTTATACGTCTTATTGGTTTAACAACAAATGGTAATAGTAAATGGTGTGTATGTATATAGCGCTTTACGGTACAGTTTTTTGCCATTCATCCATTCACACACACGTTCATTCAGTGAATGGGCAGCAACGGTGGCACAGCCATCAGGGGCAGTTTGGGGTTCAGCTCTTGCACAAGGAACTTGGCTGTACGGGGGGAGGAGTGGGATTGAACTGCCAACCTTCTGGTTAGAAGATGACCCTCTACCTCCGGAGCCACAGCAACCCCAACAACAACAACACGCTCATCTGTATCGTTGAGAAAGAACTACAACACAATTCAAACTACACATGCTGCCAAAACATTTCACGTCAATAGAAAATATAAAAACTACTTTTACAAACAAAATAACTTTTTAAGACCCAATGGAAAAAAATACTTTTTTCATCAATACAATTCAGAGTAGTTATCTTCCTGGCTGATGTGCTGTTTATCTGTTCAATGCAAGTGTCATTTTTTTGAATCAATCAATGTCGGATACAAAAACATGGCTCTGTGAGCACGTTAACATGGATACGTATCGATGATATTTTCTGTGAGGAGAATAGGAAGCAAAAAATGCTTCCATCACAATCAATGAATTCACAATGAAACATAACAAACATTAGCAAGTGCTGCAGTTAAAAAGAGCCATGCTGCACTCATGTCAACCCTATATATCCATATATATATATTTATATATACACTTTGACCTGTTTGTCCTCATGGGCCAAAGGTTCAGTCCTAACGAGGCGAGACAACACTCATTGTGACAACATTTCTAAAGTCCAAGTTAAAGTCAGGGTAGGGCGTGAGTTGGTTATGAATAAAGTTTGAGCAGGGTTAGAATGAATTGTGTGTGTGTGTGTGTGTGTGTGTGTGTGTGTGTGTGTGTGTGTAAACAGTATTTGGCATGAGCCTGTGTAAATTTGTGGGTGTGTTTAGCTGCTGATGTCAGATGGGACAACTTCTGTTTAAGTTAACTTGGTACTGGTGTGTGTGTGTGTGTGTGTGTGTGTGTGTGTGTGTGTGTCTCTTCTGGTGGAAGAGAAATGCTGAGCAATGAGTTTATGTGGTGTCCTCTAATTGTCCTGGAAGAAAATAGGGCTGTCGGGCAAGAAAAGAAATATTCAATGCTTGTGTGTTTATGTGAGTGTGTGAGTGTGTATGTGTGTATGTGTCTGTGTGTCAGTGTGTGTGTGTGTGCGTGCATAAAATAAATTTACCTGGCATTAGCGATGCACTCCAGTGTAGCCTCACTCCCGGCCACCACTGTTGTGTCTTTAGGTCCAATCACAATCGCTGGAGCCAAAAGCTCTGACTCAGGATCTGTGACAGAGAGAGAAAATATGAGAGGTAGTTCAGCTCATAAATCACACTCGTGCACACACAGCAGCTCACTGTGGAACTCAGTCCATAACAGTTGCACACACAGACACACACAGACACACACATGCGATGGGTGCACAATCTTATTCTCTACTATTTATCATGATACTTTTCCAGACACCATCACAGTGTCCACAGTGAAAACATTTAGCTTGATTTGATCCCTGAACTGTTTGTCTGACTAATTCTAAGAACTGAGCCAAATTTAAAACAACCGGTTCTGCCGGACAATGCGGTGGATCTCTGCCATGTGAGAAATGTGACTCAGGGGCCTCTCAGGATCCGGTCTCTGACGCGGCTGCCGTCCAAAGATCTGATATAAACTGCACTGAGCTTGTTTTAATATCATTGAAGCGGCACGTTGTGTCTAAAAGCGTTGTCTCGACTGAGACTTCGCTGTGACACAGATAAACTGAACTTTGCTGCAAAACAGATGGACCAAATCGTCTGCATCTTCCAGCCATCTGTGGGTCAATACTTCCCTCTTTTTTGTTTTTCACTTCAAAGCAGAATTGTACTAAATAACAAGTTTTTCCTTTTGTCAGCTTTTTTATGGAGGATGTGGGCAGTTAGTGTTCCGATGTTATCAGGACAAAACTACTCAGATCTGTGCTGCAACCGGGTGATCATAAAGACAGATACCAGTAAGAACACAATGTACAACATCACCACAACTGTAAAGTGTCAGTCTGGCTCGACACAAACAAATTCCCCCGATTTAAAAATAAGGATTTCAGTAAGATATATTTTAGACTGTTTAAAATGGTTTTTCTATTATCAAATCTTAGATCAGTACTTCCCAGTACAGTAAATTCATACCTCAAACTGATAGAATTAATTGGATGAATGTGATCTGGACCCAGGTTAGCAGCAAACTTAGATGGACTAACCAAATACAGATAATTCACTCATTTCAAGTAGTTTTTAAAAATCAACATATTGCAATTACATGACAATGATCTTTCTGTTCAACAATGGGAAGCTGACTGTGTTTGCAAAAGGTTTGATTGTGCTGATTTATCTTCTCAGCAAACCAGAACTGACCGACTTCCTGCTGCACACTCCCACTTTTATTTTATGTGTTTTTTCTGCTGCAGAAAATGTTTTCGACGTTTGTTTAGGAAATTCAAGACATTTCAAAAAACGTTCTGTGGTTTTTAACAAGGTGTGGAACGCTTTTAGGACTTTGCAAGAAATTAAGAAATGTACATACAGTGGAACAATGGTTTATTGTACGTAAGGAGTTTGGTATAAGTGGAGTAGAATTACAGAATATTACAGAATGATGGTACAAGCTAAAAGGAATGAAAGAGAATGGTAGTGTGTGTGCAAGATTGTGATTGTGTTGAGATAGTTGACACGTGTTTTCTATACTTTGTGAAGCCGTCATTTGACTGTTACGTTCGTGAGTTTGTATGAACATCATTCGGCTTCTCATGCATGAATATGTAGATTTCAAAATGAGGGAGGAGTAGGGAGTACACATTAACGGGATAGCTCTGATAGGAGGAGGAGGAAGCATGATGTGAAGAGAAGAATGGTGTGTGTGTGTGGGGGGGGGGGTTGAGGAGCAGCTTTGATCTCTCCTTTGAAGGGAAGAGTGAAAAGGTGGTAATTGACTGTGCTCTTTATTCCTCTTTCTCTCCATCATCTCTTTTTTTATCTGAGAGAAAGAGCAGAAAATTCATATCCCGCTGTCACACGAAGTAAGACATGCGGGAAACGGTAAGACAGGTAAATGACAGCACACACACACACACACACACACACACACACACACACACACACACACACACGTGTACATATACCTTCAGTTATGTCTTTGTGAGAACACTCATTGACACAACACATCCACAACCCAAACCTCAACCATCACTAAAACTCAAACTTGTCCTTAGAAGAACAGAAGTGCAAGTACACACTCACACAATGAGCGACACACTCAACTGTCTTGACACCTTTGCGTTTGTTGATGCCCCAAGTAGAAGTGAAGACATTAACAGGGGAAGATAAGTAAAACTAAAAAGAAACAGAAAGTAATTCCGTCACTCTCAGGCTCTCCCTCTTTCTCAATTAAACACACACACGCGCGCACACACACACACACACACACTTGCAGAGCTGTTGTCATTGTGACTCTGCATTGATTTCCATTCTTCCATTCATTGTGGACAGCCTAACCAAAACCTTACAGCCAACCTTAACCAGGACCTCAGAAATGACATTTTGCCTCATTAGGACGGGGCATTTGTCCCCATGATGTCTACTGGTCCTGATAAGGTCAGTGTTTATGCTGGGAAAGGTCCAAAAGAGGTAACAAAACAAGTGCCAACACACACACACACATTTGAAAGGCAACAACTAATGATGGGTAGCAGTGAAAGGGTATAGGACAGACTGGGAGACATGCAGAGAAGCGGAGTATTGAGTGTACATTTGTCGTCCGCTGTGGGGAGCAAAGGTCAGACAGGAACTAGTAGCCATCAGCGCAGCCTTAATGGCAGCAGCAGACGTGGATAATGAGCCCAACCTGTTAACTTGGGCTGTGTGTGTCTGAGGGGAGCAAATGGACAAATCAGCATAGCGGTGAACACCGGTGTGACAAAAGAGAACACGGAGGAAAGAGAAAAGGGCTCCGAAAAGGGAAATAGGGTTTACACACAGATAAGAAATGTGAAGGGGGACTGTGCAGATGGTCTTCTTCCGACTGGAGTGACAGACACGACGGTAGAAGTAGAAGGGGAAAGCAAAACGCCATATGGTTGTGTGATCTTCGCTATTCTTTCTCTACGTCAGTGTATAACACGCTTTTCCTCAGAGGGGAATCTCTAGCATTTCATTTTCATCTATATCTCACATCCCCTTCTGCCCATCTTCTCTTTCTTATTCCCTATCATCCACTTAGCTCCTCCTTTTTGTTGTATAAACAGGGATTCATTGATTAATCTTCCTCAATTTACACAAGGGGAAACATTGAAACTGGCGTGTGTGTGTGTGTGTGTGTGTGCACGCTTGCGTGCAAAAGCTGTGGCAGCTAAAAGGCTCCCTGTAAAGACTGTCCAGAAGTTTAATCTAACTCTAGTGGATTCCTCATTTAGCTAAATGAGAAACACCATGTGGCAGAGAGTAGGATTGGTGGGGGGAAGGAGGGCAGAATAAAATTTGCAGGGTTGTAACATAAACGAAGTGATAGCACAACAACAAGTCGGGGCTGAGGAGCTTCATTACGGAGCGAGGGCTGATTAAACGAGGAGCTTAAAATAAAAAAAGGGCTGTTTAAAAATAATTCAAAAGTGATGATAGGAGAGAAAGAAGTGTGTGTGTGTGTGTGCACATGGCTCAGACTGTACATAAAGATAACACGTCTCCATTGTGCTTTTTGTGGCGTAGAACTGCGGAATCGAGGTCACACTGATACACCCGCTCCAGTAGTCGTTAGTCTCAGCTGTCAATCATGACGTTTCACCTCATTTTTATAGCATCAAATCACTCAATAAAACTGAACTCACAAGGAACGTTTGCTCTTGAAAATAAATCAGTGTGATACAAAACTACTTAAAATGACAAAAAAAAACCAACTTAATTGTCTCTGGTCCGTCTTGGAATTTGGTCCATGTCCCATCTGTTAACATGGAGCAGGCAGGGTTTATCACCAATACTGCAGCCAGCCACCAGGGGGTGATCAGGAGGATTTGGGTACACTTTCCTGCTGTATCTTTATATACAGCTCAGGACATGGCTTGGTGCGTGTTTCTCCGGGGCTCATGCAGAGAATCGATATATAACATTTATAAACACAAAGTTAATATCTGTCAAACCATATCTGTGGTGCAGCTTCTACATTTAGCCACTAGATAACACGTCTAACCTGCATGTTGGGTAGACGGGTCGTCTGCTGGCTAAATCTGGTACGAAGGATATTTTCTCTTTGTTTCTCTCCATTAATAAATTGCCCCGAGCGTTTTCTCCATTGTGTTCTGTAATAAAGGACTTTTCACAGTGGAGCATATTGGACAACATTAGCACCAGTACAATATATCACCTGGGCCTTAGAGGTGGATGTACTTCTGCAGCACCGAGGCAGTGACACGCCGCAACATTACAATGCTCTCGTCAGTGCAATCACTGCTGATTGACAGTCGAGTGCTGCTGAGGTGACACAGCTGTAGAAGAGTGTGAGCGTGTCATTCTGACGGAAGCAGAAAAATCCCAAATTAAATCAAGGAGGGGAACGATGAAAGGAGGAGGAAAAAAAAACCACACAGGGCCGGTGAAAGGATTGTTGCAGCTTTAGGGCAGGAAGGAGAGATAGAGATGGATAGACAGAGAGACGGAGGTAGAGATGAAAGGCTATTCCATCCACAGATTAGAATGTAATCCCTCTTTGAATGGATTCCCAGATTACAGCTTGTTCTGCTATTAAATGTGCCAGTCACTCCACACTACCTCTGGTGTCAGCGCGTGTATGTGTGTATGATCTTTCTATGACTGCACATCTGTGTGTTTCAAGCCTTTGAGTCAAATCTCTGCAGAGACCTCGAGAGCAGAGGGACTGGCTGAGGGCAGAGACACACACACACACACACACACACGAGCAGACTGGTGTTAGCCGACTGTGTATTAATAGAGTTGTCAGATATGTGTCTGGAGAGTCCACAGCCAACTAACACATATCACACTGAGACCATACACACAACAGAGAGTGAAACGGTTGAAGAAAGAAAGAGGAAAGAAAAAGGTGGGATGACAGAAAGGAAGGGCACCGAAAATGGGAAGGTTCTTTTTTTAATATTTTAGAGAATCTTTTTGGAGGTTATACAAAAATAAATGGAAAGGAGAAGGTGATAATTTGCTGATCTCTCTGGAGAGCACGGCGTGTGTGTGCGGGTGTGTGTGCGTGTGTGTGTGTGTGTGTGTGTGTGTGTGCCAGTGGGGCGAGTGTTTGTGTGTGTCACTGAGCTCATTAATGCTTCATGCTGACAGCTAAGTGTCATCGTCTGACTACACTTGCCTTAGAATGCCAATATAAAACCACAAGTCAAGACATGGCACACGCACATACTCACACACACGCACATACACACACACACACACTCACACACACACACCAAGAGCAGAAGATCCAAGCCCCAAGGGGAGACAGACACAGACAATGGGAAGCAGTGAAAGGACCGAGAGAGATGCCCGATTTTAAATATTCATCTTTTCCTTCAGCTGCCAAAGCCTCTCTCTATCTCTGTCATCATGCCACACAAGTGATGGAAGGAGGAGATGGAGAGATGGGGAAGGAAAGACAGAAGGGAGGAGGAGGAGGAGGAAGAAGCAGCAGAAACACGCAGCGGTAATGGAGAGGCAGAGGAGGACTTAAGCTCTCAGGAGTGCTCAATGATTATTTGATTCATTTGGAGAATTATATTAGTTGCAGTGTTTTGGCTCGATGATGAAACACACAATGACATAATGAGGTAACGTTTCGTCATCGCTACAGTCAAATAAAGGTATGTGCAACTGCCCCATGTCTGTAAACCTACACACACACACACTTATATAGATATAGACATAGCATCAATATATATATAACATGTTTAGCATGTGTTACATACTTTTAGACTACTTCCGAACAGGCAAATAAAATGACTCCAGCTCTCGCTTCTCATTTGTGGTAGTTGCCGTGCTGATGATGCTAGCTAGCTACAGGCAACTGACACTCAACTAAAGCTTCCCTTCTGGGGCTCGCACTTCTGAATTTATGTTCTGCACCTGCCAAGACTGTAACTACACTATTTCAGACACAGTTTAGAACAGATAGCACCACTGCACCTATGCTGTAAGTCAGCTATTTCTAAAGTGGGTGACGTGGCGGCCTGGGGCGAAAGGCAAAGTTTTTAATCTTTTTCTACTGAAGACTTTCTGAAGACGTACGTTTTTAACATCTCACCACATTAAAAAAAGGTGGAGACATTTGCACAAAACTGAAAATCTACTGTTACTATAAAGACCTTTGCACAATTTTTCCATGTAATTAATTTGTAGGTTATTTATATTTTTCATACCGACTTTCACATCAGCGTGTTTTTGCGAGTATTATTGCAGCTTTTATGTTTTCGGATCCTGTCGGATTTTTCCAAGGTTTTGCTTCTGTAATGTACACATCATGTATTGTTCGATATATTTAATATATAATTGTCTTTATCCATTGCTCACAGTTATTGTTGTTAGTCATAAATATGATGTAGCTGACTGGCGACATGACTCCAAAGAACATGAATGAAGCACAGCTGGGACTGTTATACAAACAAACAGGACTTTCCTTAGTCTAATGAAATACTCTCAAAATACTACTACAAACTATTATTTTGTGTTAGCTGTTGCAGTAGTTCTTCAAACTTTTCAACAGACATGAACCGAAACGTCCTGAAGTTAATGTGACGCAGTGAAACTGTCCACGTCCCTCTCTCTGCGACACGGTTTGTTGTATGTAGTTTTTATAATTAAGGAAAAGGACCTGTCTTGTAGTGTTGAAATTGCATGTTGCAGCTGAACACCCCTCACCTCACCCTCTCCTTCTTAACATGAAAAAGAAACTGTGGCAGCTTCAGTTGTCATAAAAACTCAACAGGTGTTTAGTTTGTTCTGTCTGGACTAATGTAAAAAAACATGGCGGCCTCCGTAGAGAGGGTCCCCTCGATGTAAAAATAAGGTATGTAAATATAAAGGGCCCATTCTATTGTAAAGAAAACTACAATTCTTACAATTTATATGAAACTATCTAGTGAAAACTTCATGAGGATTATTCTACATTACATTTCTGCCAGTAGTTCCCTTTCACTGAAATCTTACACTCTGGACCTTTAAGTGGAAGAAATTAGTTAGAGCTACTCCACTTATATGTAATATATGAAGATGTGAAGATCCAACACCAGAGTGACTCATCTAATCTCAAGAGACATTTTAAACCAGAACCTCACTCTTGAGCCAGACAGACACAATATACTAAGTTCTCTGTTTTAAAAAGTTTGAGAAGCACTACTGTATCAGGTTATATAGGTACAGGCCTGAAGGGGACTGACCTTGAGGTTAAAGGTGGCTGGCTGCAGCTTTTCTGACTAGCATTGAGGCAGAAACACTGAAACCGGAATAGTGGAACATCTTTTACAGCATGTACCCACCACCGCTGCCAATGTGACCTTCAGCAAAGCACTTAGCTGAGCGGCCCTCAGCTCCGACCTTCCCCCGCAGAGGTAAAGGGTCAAAGGAATATTTGTCTCTGTTAAGAAAGAAGGAGCACGAGAGAGAGAGCGGGGAAGATAATGTTAATGTAAATGGGTTCTTTACCTGTTGACCCACGGTTCTTCTTTCCAACTGTCCATCAGCCAGAGAGAATGAGATGAAGAGAAATGGCATGAAAGAGGGGAAATAGAAAGTGGGGAAGGACAGAGAAAAAACAGGAGAGATATAATTTAGATTTCAAGTGTTTTCCTCCGGTGGCAGCAAAAACACACATTTAGCAAATACACATAAAAAGAATCAAAAGAAAACACAAGCTCTTACAAAACAGCGGCTCTGAGCTGTCTCTGAATTGAAGAGGCAAACAGGAAGAGGAGACGCTTTCCCCGAGAAGGAGGGAAACAAAAAAAAAACAAAGACAAAAATCAAGAGACAGACAAATGGATGAGAGGCAGGAAGAGAGAACGCCATGTTATCATGGAGTCCAGAGGAAGACAAGCTGTTAGCAGCTCATCCATCAACTGCCAGCAACAAAATTTAGTCTCTCTCATTCACTCTTTTCTTCTACCCTCTATCTTCTCTCCTCTGCTTTTCTCCCTGTATTTGTCATAAGTCTGGTGCCAGCAAGACTGTAGGCTGTGAGAAAATGATGGCATTGACATTCTACTGGCAGAAAATCTACATTCACAATTCATCTATCAATACACTACCCCCTCGCACTGCTATACAGCCACTAAGCCACTCACTCAACACTTGAATACTGTGTGTGCGTTTGTGTGCGTGTTTTGATCTGAGAGTGTGTGTGTGTGTGTGCGTGTGTGTTTGTGAGTGTGTGTGTGCGTCAGGGACTTAATTTAGATTCTGACGTAGCACATCAGAGCAAAGTTCGCTCAGTATGTGCAACACACACGAATGCTTTTACGGGACACGTGGTGAAGCGTGAGCAAGCCAGCTGACGAGAAACAGACAAACACAGCTTCAGTATAAAACTGAGAGAAGCTAAAGAGGAGGGAGGGGAAACTTTGGAAGAGTAAAGTTCTTGTACATAAAATTATTATTCTTGTTGATGAATCTGTTTTGGACTATGGCTCATGTCAAACATGAAATCCTATAGATTTCATCTAGAACAAAGAACTCAAACTCAGGCTGAATAGACACTAGCATAGAAAAACAAACAATGTCCTGATTGATTGTAAACAGAGCTAAAGAGACCAATTTAACCAAAACAGTTTGTGTTGTTCAGTTGCCGTACTGGGTAGTCTATTATTTTGGAGATTCGGAAAAGAGGGTCACGCACACAAATCCAAACAGACACACACAAAACACAGGAACTTGCAGGCTTTGGTCTGGGGGGCATACGACTGTGGGTGTGTATTCAAATGAAGTGTCATACTGAGTCATCTTCAGTTTCGAATGGGAACAGAGAAACAATGGGGACATCAGGGGACAACAGAGATACCGTGAGCGAGGCTGTGTGTGTGTGTGTGTGTGTGTGTGTGTGTGTGTGTGTGTGTGTGTGTGTGTGTGTGTTCCTTGACAACACAAATCATCTGATGTTCGTGAGGTTAAATCCACTAAACACATTTTCCAGTAACTCTCACTCCCGTCCTTGTTTTTGCCAATCCTTTGAAAAGCCTGGGATCATCGGTGTGTTTACTGATGTGCGTTTCACAGCAGATAAAATATAACTACAGTTGTACAAGTGAACAACAGCTTCCTGTTTCATCTCTTGGCTCGAAGTTTACATATAAAACACTGCACCACTCGTTATGTAGTTGAAATGAAAGTGACGTTTAAAACACAATTCGAGCTGATGTGAAAATATCAGTGTATGTTTCTGAGCGTGTCTCGGTCTTGAGTATGATTTGTATTCATGAATTCACTATTGTGTATTCAGTGCCTGAAGGACCTACAAACAACCAGGTCACGGTGTCCTCTGTGTGTGCTTGCTAAGATGTGTGTGTGTGTGTGTGTGTGTGTGTGTGTGTCTGCGTAGGTCTAATGGGAATTAGCACAGTCTTTGTGTGTTAAACAATCCCACATGTTGCACCGGTCCTTTTGAGTGTGTAAAGGTGTTTGCTGCTATGTGTGTTATGTCTCACTTCTCCAGCTGTGCAGGTGCTGACCCCTCGGTCCCCAGCTGTGGGTCACCTGTTTGCTGCAGCGCCTCCGCACGCTCTTTGACTCAACACTTCCTCCCACCCTTGGCACACACACACAGACACACACCTGCCGGGCCTCCCCCACATCATTGATAATCTATTCTCCTATTCGGCTTCGCTTCGTTCTCCCCCATCCGCCCACTTCGGCATCCACTGTCACATTTCCCCAAGCGAGAGAATACTTTTTTTAGCAACACGTTTGAGTCGTTTCTTTCTCTCTCGACTGTTTTAAAACCAGAGTTCAACCTCAGAACCCTTACCACTCCAATTTACCCTGTCAATCTCACTCTCTTTCCCCTCTCTCTCTCTCTCTCTCTCTCTCACACACACACACACACACATGCGTGCACACACCTATTTGAAATTCATATCAATGGCTATACAAATGTAACACTCCAATTTCCAATCCTGACATATTCACAGAGAAACACAAGGACTCTGGACTCTTCTGCACACACTCACACACACACTCACACACAAGTTGTGTCCAGTAAAATAATAAGCTGACTGGAGAGTTGACCCCAGATCTCAGAGCAATCCCTGACAGACCCAGATGATAACATTTCGTAGTCAATGTGCTTCCTCTCCTTACACCCAGTAGTCTGTCTCACTTTGTAAATCTGACCACAAGCGAGGAGAGCTTTCATTTATACACAGAGTATAAACAGCAGGAAGCAGCTTTACATATTTAATTTTAGATTTCATACAAACCAACACTCTTCCTCCAGGTGTTTGAGATTCCCCTTTCCCTCCATAAAAGTGCACTGTGGGAAGATTACATCTTTTTGCTGTCTGGCTGTCCGTACCAAACACTAGCACCGGTTGACCTTTCCAATTTACCATGTCAATCATGCGCCCCCCCCCCCACACCCACACACACACATGCACACTTGCACACATGCACACATGCACAGACGCAGAGCCCAGTCTCTTATATACGTAGAAGTAAAAGTTGGTGTCAATCATCCTTGTTTGAATCTCAAATGTCACCAGGTTTTGACATTCTCTTTGCACACCGCCTGAAAGAAAAAGGTTAGCTTATACCTGACTTTCTCCTCTATTTTTCATTTCTCTCTCTCGGCGATGTCTCGTTCTTCTGCAATTTAATTTGAGCTCTCTCGTCTCTTGTTACTTCCAATCTCTTAAGACTTTCTTGTATTTTCTTTGTGTCCAAACAGTTGTAGCACTCAAATCTGCACTTGAGATAAAAAGTCACCAATCCCTTGTTAAACATTACCTCATGAGTCGAACAAAGAGCAAGCAAATGAGCCGATGAGTAAAAAAATGTGCCATTGAAAGGGATTAAAATAAACAAAGCCCCGAAAAGAAAGTAGTAGGAAGTACAAGGGAATTGTAAGAGAAACATAAAACATGAGCGTGCCATGTAATGAAAATGGAAAAGAGATGTAGATGCGCAATTCCCACTGTGAGCTTAATGATGGCACGGGAAAGATCTGGTATCATTTACAATTCAAAGGAGCGTTGCTTCCTCAAGTTTTTGGCTCTGATACAAGTCGCTTCATTTACACTCACACATTCCCATTGAAGTGTTTTAGTTCTGTATCAGTAACGATCCCTGAAAATGCATATCATGTGATCACTCACCCATGCCCATGTAAACACAGAGCATATTGTCAACTCTGCAAACGGTCGCTTCCTTACGAGAAATGGTGCACAGCAAGACGAGGGATTTCTTGTCCCGGACGAACAACAAGGTGAAGCTATGAGTGTTTACGACATATTGTCTTCCAACTGGTAATCGAGGTGTAACTGAGGAGAAACAACCGAATTAAAGAGTGTGGATTCAGACTTGGGTCAGGTTTAGTCAGGTGTGACTATAAACTTTGGGCTCGGCTCGACTTCAGACACAAAAAAAATGAATTATCAGAAAAGCTTGTTTCGTTTTCTTTCTAGTTCAGAACAGATAATTGCTGCGTGAGACGCACTCTACAAAGAGAAGTGGAGGTCTCTGATCCTGCAGGAGAAACTCACGAATAATCCAAGTATAGGGATGGAGGGCAAGTTATATGCTATACATGTGTTCCCCTGCACCTCAGCATCAGTTACCAGAAGAAGAAGTGACAACAGGAGATGCATCATTGCTAAATCAGGTTGCCGCAGGGTAATCCCCAATCTCGCACTCCTTCTTCGTCTTTATCTCTCCACCTCTCTCTAATCGCTTCACTTTGTCCCACAGACTCAAAGCACTGTGCCTAAGAGACCCTCGGCATAACTAAATAGGCGCACATAGTAAGAGGATACAGAATTTATAGGTGCCTCCTTTAGAAACGAGTGGTTTTCTAGCGAGGCATCCACTGCTCCCTGTGCAGCTTCTGCTTTGACACAGTCCATTCATTTACTACAGGCCAGCAAATGTAGGGACGAGGCCTGGAGGAATGTGACAGATCAATGGAGGGTTACATGTCCTGGCATTTCCTTGGGCACTTCCTTGAAGCCTAAGACACTCGCTCACAAACCCACAGTCTTTGGAGCAGAATAAAAACATCAATACTGTACTAAGAATTTACTGATGCCCTTTGGGGAAACTCCCTTGAAGAAGCTGATGCTGTGATGCAGCAGTACACAGTATAAATTGGGATTATTGTTATTATGGGTGCCTTGCCAAATGTGGCACACATGCCCCAGTTGGCAAGGCACTGCATGGAGTGAAGCACATCAATTTTATTTATAATTTATTATAAAATAATATAAATTATATTTATAATTCATGTGATATAAGAAAAAGCTCTAGCGCCATTCTCGTTTTCTTTTCTGGAATGATTTGGTTTCACGGTTCAATTTTCGGTTCTGTTTTTAAGCTTCTGTTCTGTTTTATCTTAAAAACCTTGAGCTGCATTTCAAGCTGTGAAAAGGACCATATGCATTAAATGTAGTATTATTATTATTGTTATTATTCACACCAGTTAGATTAACACCAATACTCTTCTCATCCTGTGTGACAGTCCTGACTCA